CGCTCGTTAGGCCTGTGCTAATGTGTATACCACCTTGGTTATGCAGCCTGGAGGACACAGTTCAAATTTCTTCTACTGTTGGTAGTCTTGACCCAGGGGCACTGTTCCTGGCTTGAGCATTTAAGCTCCCTTCCATGGGCGCTCTTGCTCTGGCCTGGCCAGCAGAGTGTGCTCCACCGGCTGGTGGAGCTCTCGAACAGTTCCCAGTTTTAGTGGGTCCTGTGGTCCGGGTGTTGGGGTAGGGAGTCTAGGTCAGGGTCTGGGGATTCCCTCCAGCTCTGGTCTCCCTTGATGGATTCCCTGTCCCCTGATGGGTACTCACCCTGTAGGTCGTCAGTTGTTGTTGCAGTCCGTCAGTTGTTGTTGCAGTCCGAGTTCAGTTGGGGTGGTTGCGGGCTGGGTTGGGCGGCCCCCCGCCGGGTCGTTGCGATCGCGATTGGGCGGGTGTTCTGCGGACAGGTCCCTTTGTGGCGCTGCTGGTGCCGGGCGGCTTTGGCGGGATGGAGCCTCTCCGCTCCGGTGGAGAGTGATGGGTGGGGTGGGATCCTCCTGGAGACTCCCGGCTGGTAGGTTTCTCTGTTCCTGGCGATCCGCTGTTCTGCAATCCGGTACCTGGTGATCTGCAAGCAGCCCCCTGTGTCTCTGGGGCTCCGGCAGCCCCCGCCGGGCCGGCTGGCCGGCGGCTTGGCGCACTGCCGCGCGGCCAGTAAAGGTTGGGGGAGGGGTCTTCGCTCTTCTCTGTTCTGAAATTCTTCTTTTCCTCTCTTTCTTTTTTTTGTTATTTTCCACCTCTGGTTTTTCTCTGAGTGTTCGTCTTTTTGTTGTTGTCGGTCTCTTGGGGAGATTAAAGGTTGGAACTCGAACTCTCTTTTTGGTTGGAGAGAGCTGTGGCGTTTCCCTACTGCCCCGTCGCCATCTTGGTCCCCCCTCTAGGCTTATGCATCTTTACATGGTTAAACTAATAAGGGGTGTGGGTGTCGCTCAGTAGTGGAAAGTTTGCTTCCAAAAGGAAAAAAAAAAAAAAGAAAGTTGGCAGGGCAAGTTGTCAACGTAGTGCAACGAAAAGCCCTCATTGAGTTACCTAATAAGGAACCAGCTTGACACACAGGTGGGTGTGAAACCGGAGGCCCAGCCCCGAGAAGCAGACGCCTTAAACTTAAGCTAACTGGGTTTCCACGGCTTCTGTAATTACACTTTCTGTGTTGTTCTTCTAGTATTGTCGCACTGTGGTGTTAAAAGACAAACTGCGCCCAACGTGGGGCTCGAACCCACGACCCTGAGATTAAGAGTCTCATGCTCTACCGACTGAGCTAGCCGGGCGCCTGGGTTCCCGAGCTCCGAACATTACCTCTTGAAGATGACGCCGGCCTCGTCTCCGGCCGCCGGGGCCGCGGGTTACATGGAAGTGGGGTTCAGGGCACAGAACGCAGACGGCGCGCCGAGCCCTCCACCTCCTTCCGCCCTCTGCGTGCGGTAGATGCGCTTCCACCCGCGACTTCACTGAAGACGGCACGGCCGTGCAGAGGGCGGGGAGGAGGAGGAGGAGGAGGAGGAGGCGGAGGAGGAGGAGGAGGAGGAGGAGGAGGAGGAGGAGGAGGAGGAGGAGGAGGAGGCTGTCCCCTTTGTGTGGGACTCCGTGCCATGGTCGACCTTCTGGAATTTTCCCCAGTGCTCTCTAAAATACCTGGAAGGATGGAGGGGGGGGGGCAAAAATAAAAGCGTGAAGAAGGAAAAAAAAAGCCTCGTGGAGATGCCGGGGATCGAACCCGGGGCCTCATACATGCAAAGCATGCGCTCTACCACTGAGCTACATCCCCGCTCACGCTCACGGCCTCTCTGAAAGCGACTCACTTGGTAATCGCTGAGCCCGGTGCGGCGCGCGTGCGAGCCTAACCTGCCCGGAGACCACCAGCGGCGGCTGCAAAAGCCCGGGAGTTGTTCCGGGGTCCCCCCCCTCTCACCCGGTACACACCGGGACCGACACCCCCCAAGCTTTTCCGAGGCTGCCTGCTGCCCTCGGCCTGTGTGGCCTGTAATGGTGTTCAGCCCAAAAGAAGAGTTTTCCCACCCCTGGAACGTAGCCTGTCCGGGGAAGGCCTCTGGGAGAGTAAAATGAAGCCTTGCTCGGGATCGGGGAGCAACTTGGAATTCAGGCCTGTTCCGATTTACCAAGATCTAGGTCTTCTGCACTTTGAATCCTGTTTAAAGCCAGGGAAATGGTTTACTGAAGGTGATCAGAACTATTCTTTAAGCTGGGACTTCGGCCATAAAGAAATATAACAAAGGGGATTTTTTTCTATTATTTAAGTAATTTTATTGTTATTATTAAGGTGTTGTGCAGAGGGGTTCATTTCGTAAGTCAGGTCATGACTACATTTCTTTGTATTTTTCTTATTCTTTTTTTGAGGGGGAGGGACAATGTCTCTCCTTCCTTTATTTCCCCCCAGTCTCCCCTCCCATCCCTGCCCACCAGTTACATAGGTCATTTTCCACATAGTGTATACTGAAAATAGCCTCCCGACTGCATTTGTTCACCCTTCCTCGCTCCCTTTCTGTGTCTCCCACTTTACTGCTCTTGGAAGAAAAAGAAAAAAATCCCTAAGTAAAAAGAAACACCACTACCAACAACATCAACAATAACAACAACAACAAATTATAAAAACATGTTTTGACTTCCTGGAGTTTGGTTCAACAAACAGTATTTTAACCTAACAATGGAGATTTTAAACACTGTGGGTAACCGGGTAGACCTCGTGGACAGGGTGATCAGGAGCCAGCTTTGGTGGAGTTGGGAAATGAGGTAGATGTAAATCTAGAGGAATCTGGTCCAAGCAAACAGAGCAATCTCCACAAGGTAGGGGTACCTTATATGTAACTATATAAAGGAGGCCCACATGGCTGGAATGGAGTTAATGTACTAAATAAAATAAATTAGCATACATTAGTTATGGGGGGAAGGATTTTATTGTTATATTCTCTCTTGTTTACAACATATTCTAGTCAATCATTCTTGCTGTCACTCTGGCCAACTTCCTTCCCCCACTTGCCCAAATAATTTCATTCCATTGTTCTATTTTCATAAGTGCAAACCATCTATTTTTACCATATTCATTCTCCACCCTTCCAACCCCCAAGGGATCAACAGTTTGCCAGGCTGTTTTTATATGTACCTGCAATGTATTTCCAAATTGTTCACCTTCTGTTTTTTCCCATTTCCCTTTCCCCTTCTCCTAAATAGCCCCTTAATTAGATTCATGTTCTGCATGAATATACACGTAGGTATCCTTACAAATATGTACATCTTTTATATCTAACTTCCACCTATGAGTGAAAAACATGCCAAAGTTTTTTTTTGCCTTTGTACCTGGGTGCCATCCCTGAGCTTTTTTGCTCAAGGCTAACACTCTTCCATTCCTGAGCCACAGCTCCACTTCTGTTTTATGGTGCTTGACTGGACATAAGGGTCTCTTGGACTTTCCTGCCTGGGCTGGCTTCAAACCGAAAGCCTGAGATCTCAACCTCCTGAGTAGCTGGGATTACAGGTGTGAGCCACAAGGCCTGCTTGCCTCCATTTTTCTGCAAATGACACGAATCCCTTTTTCTTTATTCTTTTTTTTTCCTTTTGTCGTGGGATTTGAACTCAGAGCCTGGGTGATGTCCCTGAGCTTTTTCCACTCAGGGCTAGCAGTACTCTACCGCTTTGAGTCATAGCACCATTTCCACTTTTCTGGTGGTTCATTGGAGATGAGTCTCACGGACTTTCCTGCCTGGGCTGACTTCGAACTGTGATCCTCAGATCTTCCTGAATAGTTAGGATTACAGGCAGGAGCCACCAGGCCCCAGCTTCCATTTTTCTTTACGGTGTGTAATAGCAGAGGGCTTGGGAGGGGGGGGGGGGGGGGGTTGTGCACAGGCTAGCCATCAGCCACTGGAGTGTTGGCGCCCAGAAAATGGAAGAGATCACAAGTTAACAAATGTAGACAGAAGGTGACAAATGTAGACTGAGGAGGATCAGGGAGAAGGGCAGAAAACCACAGGAAGCTAAGACCATCTCTGGGAATGTAGCTCTACAAAGAGCTGAGAGAAAAGTAGGGCCCCTCAGGGGGCAGGCGCCCCGTTAGGTTAGCATCATATTGGTGGCTGGTGGTTTGGACAAGAGAAATCTCCATGAAGGGTAGGGGCAGAAATGTGAGAGTGGTCTCCAGAGCAGGGAACGTGGGGGAAAAACGTGGAAGCTACTCCTGGAAAGGGGGGGGGGGGGTGTCCCTGGATACCATCTGGAGAGACAAGAACACACACTTTGGGGTTGGAGGAGGGAAGGAAAGTACAAGTATTCCTTGTCAATCAATCAATCAATAGGGGGCATTTGCAGGGGGGCTCACAGACGTGGACAGGAGGCCATGGTTGGGCTGGAGGAGGAGGTGGGTAGGAGGTAGGGGTTGACAGGACACGGGGGGGGGGGGGCAGATTCCAGACGCTAAGTTTAGCTCCAAGCCCCGGTGCCAGGATGAACTAAGGCTCAACCTGACACCAGGGCCCCGGGCGCCAGGCCCTGGGCCTGGGGCGGGGGGGGGGGGGGGGGGGGGAGGTGGAGAGGCCGTGCGGGGGTCGACCTCCACGGGCCCAGCTGGGCTGGGTGGCGCCCACCTGTCGCCGCCCGTTTCCCGACGACTGGGTCGGTGGTGGGAGGGAACGGCCTAGAGAGACGGAGGGAGAGGGCGGCCGGGGAGGGGGGACGATCGCCGGGTCGCAGGGCCAGGTTTTGGGGAGAAGCGGAGGCGCGGGGCGGCCCGGGGTGCCCGCCATCCGCGGGGCACCGGTCCTGCCCGGCTGCTCCCCAGCGAGGGCGTGTGCCAGCCCCGCCCCAGAGGGCAGCGGTGCGTGCTTGTGTGTGTGTGTGTGAGTGTGTGCGTGTGTGCGTTGCGGGGAACTCGCCACCCGGCTCCGATCCATCCACCGATCGCCGGAGAGCAGGGTCCTACCCCGAGCTGGGTGCGCCCATGGCGGCCATCGGACCCTGGAACAGCCCGGGCGGCGCGGGCTCGGAGGCGCTGGCCCTGGCGGCGGAGCTGCAGGGCGAGGCGACCTGCTCCATCTGCCTGGAGCTGTTCCGGGAGCCGGTGTCGGTCGAGTGCGGCCACAGCTTCTGCCGCGCCTGCATCGCGCGCTGCTGGGAGCGCACGGGCGCCCGCGCCCCGGCCGGGCCGTCTCCGGGACCCCTGCCCTGCCCGCAGTGCCGCGAGCCCGCGCGCCCCGGCCAGCTGCGCCCCAACCGCCCGCTGGCCGCCATGGCCGCGCTGCTCCGGCGCTTCGGCCCGGCCCCCGGCCCCGCCGGCAAGCGGGGCACCCCGGAGACGCCGGCCGTCCCCGTGCGCACCTGCGCGCTCCACGGGGAGCAGCTCAAGCTCTTCTGCCAGGACGACGGGCGCGCCATCTGCGTGGTGTGCGACCGCGCCCGCGAGCACCGCGCGCACGCCGTGCTGCCCCTCGACGAGGCCGTGCAGGACGGCAAGGTGAGCGCGCGCGCGCGTGTGCGCGCGGGGATCCCGGGTTCGGATCCAACCCCACCGCGCCCACGGGAGGGAGCGAGGGAGGGAGGCCCAGGGGGAGCCCCGGGCCCCCCCTCCCCACCACCCCGCACTGATGGGGCTGAGCTTTGTTCTGTCACACACACACACAACCCAACTGGTCCTGGGAAAGTTTGTCTCCCCTCCCTCCCCCCTCCCCCCGCATCCCTTCCCCTCCTCCCCCTCCATGGGGGTGGCCCTAACTCAAAAAAAAAAACTCTTCTTTGGAGGCCCCCAGTGGGACGACCTCTCCTCCCCCCAAGAGGTCAGGGAGGGGTTGCTGTGTGGTTCCTGGATTCAAGGGAGTGCCCCGAAGTCTGTGTGCCAATTTAGGCTGTGGTTGGGGGGCCAAGTCGGTGGCTTCTGATTCATTCCTGGGGCCTGGTCGTCGGTTGTGTGCAGAGACTTGTGTGGCACGTAGCTCCCTCTCTACATCCCTCTTCCGCTCTAGCCCTGGCACCTGGGGGTGGGGTGGGGCTCCCTGTTAGAGGAGAGAACCACACAAATGGCCCGAGATAGGCAGATGGGCAGCGCACTGTATGAGGCCTTCTAGAATCTTTCCCCTGAGAAGTGTCTCTTTTTGTTTTGTGAAGTGTGTGTGTGTGTGTGTGTGTGTGTTGGGCTTGGCTGGGGCTTGAACTCAGGAACAGGGCTCAGTCCCTGAGCATTTTTCTCCAGGCTATGACTCTACCACTCGAGCTTTTGTGTTTTAATAGTTCAGTGGAGATAAGAGTTCCTCAGGCTTTCCTGCCCAGGCTGGTTTCAAGCCATCATCCTCAGGTTCAGCCTCCTGAGTAGCTGGGATGACAGGTGTGAGCCACTGGCACTCACACTGGGCTGAGTGGCTTTCCCTTTGTGCCCGCAGGAGCTCTTGGATTCCAGGCTGAAGGTCCTGAAGAAGGAGCTGGAAGATTGTGAGGTGTTCCGGACTACGGAAGAGAAGGAAGGCAAGGAGCTCCTGGTGAGCCCCGTGTGGACAGATAGGGCTGCCTTCCACCAGCGGCTCCACAGGGCGGGTGGTATTGGAATGTATACCATGGAACAGCATGGTGGATTTCAGGAAAGACAATAGGAAGTCCTGCACTGGTGGCTCATGCTTGTAATCCTAGCTACTCATCAGAGCTGAGATCTGAGGATCAAGGTTCAAAACCAGCCCAGGCAGGAAAATCCATGCGACTCTTATCTCCAATGAACCACAAGAATAAATAAAATAAAAATTGCCATCACCACTTAAAAAAAAAACAAACCAAATGTCAAATGTCAAACAGTGACAAGGGTGGAAAACTCCAACTGACAGTTGTGTTAGTCTGTTTTCTCTTAGCATATCACAGTGCTTCTGACAAGGCCATGTATAAAGAATGGAGATTTAAAACCTAGGCAGGAAAGTCCATGAGACTCTTATCTCCAATAAACCACCAGAAAACCGGAAGTGATGCTGTGGCTCAAGTGGTAGAGTGCTTACCTTGAGCTGAAGAGCTAAGGGACAGCGCTCAGGCCCAGAGTTCAAATCCCATGACTGATCAAAAAAGAATGGAGGTTTATTGGGCTCATAGCTCTAGAGAGGCTGGGAAAACCAATAGCCTGGTTGTCAGCGTCTGCAAAAACAAACAAACCTTGTGCTAACTCTCCTGGAAGTCCCAGGAGATACTGACTTAATCCTTCTTCTTTCTCAAACAATTACAGTTTGATGTTCTTCTACCTAAACTAGCTAGTTGAGGGAGCAGGGCTCAGCTCTAAGGAAGCACCACACACATGTGGGTCAATCTTGCACTGAGTTGGGATGTTTACAGTAGAAGGTGTGCATACGTTTGCATGTGTGTCTGCATCCCTGATGCCGAAAATCATGAGGTGGTTGAGCCTCTACCTCAGAAGCTCCGGTCCAAACACCCCCCAACTTCTCCTGGGACAGATGCAGATGGCCACGGAGAAAGAGAAGGTGGGGGCTGAGTTCCAGGCACTGAGAGCTTTCCTGGTGGAACAGGAAGGGCGTCTCCTGGGCCGCTTGGAAGACCTGTCCCGGGAAGTGACCCAGAAGCAGAATGAGAACCTGGCCCAGCTCAGGGCTGAGATCACTCAGCTCTCCAAGCTCAGCAGCCAGATCCAGGAGACAGCTCAGAAGCCTGACCTCGACTTCCTCCAGGTGAGATCTGAGGATCATGGTTCGAAGCCAGCCAAGGCAGGAAAATCCAGGAGACTCTTCATTTAACCACCTGGAAGTGGAGCTGTGGCTCAAATGGTAGAGTGCCAGCCTTGATCAAAGAAACTCAGGGACAGCATGCAGGCCCTGAGTTCAAGCACCAGGACAGGCACAAGAAAGGAAAGGAGGGAGGGACGGAGGGAGGGAAGGGAAGAAAAGCAAATAGACATGTGAATGGAGATTATCTGATGCTCTCTGACCTGGCTTTCTTCCTTCTTTCCTTTTAGGAATTCAAAACTACATTAAGCAAGTGAGTAAACTTAATAGTTCTTTGGATCCTTTTATTTTATTTTATTTTTGTCAGTCATGGCACTGTCCCTCAGCTCTTCAGCTCAAGGCGAGCGCTCTACCACTTGAGCTACAGCGCCACTTCCGGTTTTCTGGTGGTTTATTGGAGATAGGAGTCTCACGGTCTCTCCTGCCAGGGCTGGCTTTGAACCACGATCCTCAGATCTCAGCCTCCTGAGTAGCTAGGATTACAGGCATGAGCCACCAGTGCCCGGCCTTTGGATCCTTTTAAACTGGCTCTTTTCTTTTCCCACTGAGTGCTTCTCTTCATCTCCATACCCATCTCTCACCTCCTGATCCCATCCTTACTCTTCTTCACCTCAGTACCTTCTGAGGCAAATGCCCACCTGTCTGGCCCCTCTCTCCCTTTTCCATCTCTTTCTGGAAGGAGCTAGAAGGTGAATTAGAAGAGGAGAAGATAGAGGAGAGTTCAACATCCCCATATCCCTTTCAAAGACATGCCTCCAGGGCTGGGAAGGTGGCTCAGTGGTAGAGGTGCTTGCCTTGCAATGCATAAGGCCCTGGGTTCGATTCCCCAGCACCACATAAGCAAAAAGAAAAAAAAAAAGCCGGAAGTGGCGCTGTGGCTCAAGTGGTAGAGCGCTAGCCTTGAGCTGAAGAGCTGAGGGATAGCACCCAGGCCCAGAGTTCAGGCCCCACAACCGGACCCAAAGACATGCCTCCAATGGCTTAACTTCCTTCCACAAAGCCCCCGCCTCCTAAGGGCTTCTCCACCCAATAGTAGTAGTGACCAAGCTCTTAATGCACAAGTCTTTGGGAGAAAGGTATCCAAACTAATTGTCATTGCTCACTGATAGTGGGGTGGGGTTCTTGGGCCTTCTTTAAAGTCCCCATCCTGCAGGTGTAGCAATGTGCCTGGTCCCAAGCCAACCACAGTCTCCTCTGAGATGAAGAATAAAGTTTGGAATGTTTCTCTCAAGACTTTTGTCTTAAAAGGGCTGCTGAAGAAGTTCAAAGGTAGGACCTGAGGATGGTTATTGGGGTCAAAAAGAGGGAGGGCCAAGGAGGGAGAGCTCAGCGCAGACCAGTTCTGGGCATGGGAGGAGATGGAGATGGAGCTGGAATACACGGAATCTGATACAGACACCCCTGTCCCCCCATGTCTGGCCCTGTACTTGCATAGCAACCCTCAGCCTCCAGTGTTTCTAGGGCTGCATGAGTCTGATGGTGTATAAATGTTGGAGGAGCGGCATCCTTCATTCACACCCTGTTTGTTTCTCCTCAGATGATCTTCAGGGAGAGCTGGAGAAAGAGGAGAAAGGTACAGCTGTGGTTGTGAGCGTGGGCCCTGGGGCAGAGAACCCACGGGCTGCCAGGGGCTGTGTTTCTGGACCCTGTGTGTGGTTGGTTTCTTCTGCCCTCCAGCCTCAGTGAATTCTCACTTCACCAGGGCCACTCCGACCACTCAGTAGCAGTTGGGCTTGTTAACTGATAAGCTGTGGGTGGGTTTGAAGCTGGAGTTGCCCTAGGCCCTAAGGACCCTGAGATTGGAGAGAGGGTTTATAGATTTTCTGGATGAGACTTATGCTCTCTCTTCAAGACAGATGGAGTCCTCTCCTGGGGGGATGGGGGTGAATGCAGGGAGAGTAGAAGCAAAAGGAGATTGTGGACTGGAAGGGAGGGGGTATTACATCTGCAGAGGGCTGAGCGTATGCAACCCAGCATGGAGGGTGTGTGTGTGTGTGTGTGTGTGTGTGTGTGTGTGTGTGTGTGTGTGTGTGTGTGTGTGTGTGTGTGTGTGTGTGTGTGTGTGTGTAAACATTTCATAGACTTTCCTGCCTGGAGTGACTTTGAACCATGACCTTAAATCTCAGTCTCCTGAGTAGCTAGGATTAGAATGAATTTTTTTTTTGGTTGGTTGTGGGGCTTGAACTCTGGGCCTGGGCGCTGTCTCTCAGCTCTTCAGCTCAAGGTAAACTCTACCACTTGAGCCACAGTGCCACTTTTGTTTTTTTTGGCGGTTAACTGGAGATAAGAGTCTCATGGATTTTCCTTCCAGGGCTGGTTTTGAACTGCGATCCTCAGATCTCAGCCTCCTGAGTAGCTAGGATTACAGGCATCACCAGCACCTGCCTTAGAATGGATTCTTTTTAAAGCAAATCATAGTCCACATTTCCACCAATGACTTAATGTGTTCTTCCTAAAAAAAGAAAGACTCGGAGAAAGCCCAGCCACAAAACCCACCATTATAACTAGACGAACCAAGGATGATTCGTCCCCATATCTGGGGGTTCCAGTGTCCTCAGTTTGAAATTGGATTTTGCTGGGTGGTTTGAACCGGTGTCCAAAGTAGGCTCATAAATTTGCAACTGTGTGATTTCAGAGAGAGAGAGAGAGAGGAAAAAGAGAAAAGAAGGGAGCAAAGAAAGAAGGAAGGAAGGAGGGATGGAGAGAGGGGGGGAGGGGAGGGGAGGGGGGAGGAAGGGAGGAAAGGAGGGAAAGACGGAAGGAGGGAGGGGAGGGGGGGGAGGGAGGGAGGGAAGGGGGGAGGAAGGAGGGAAGGAGGAGGAAGGGAGGAAGGGAGAGGAAGGGAGGGAAGGGGGGAGGGAAGGGGGAAGGAAGGGGGGAAGGAAGGAGGGAGGGAGGGGAGGGAAGGGGGAGGAAGGGAGGGAAGGGGGGAGGAAGGGAGGGAAGGGGGAAGGAAGGAGGGAGGGAGGAGGAGGAAGGAGGGAGGGAGGGAAGGAAGAAGGGAGGAAGGGAGGGAGGGGAGGGAAGAGTGGAGGAAGGGAGGTAAGGGGGGAGGAAGGATGGAGGAAGGGAGGAAGGGAGGGAAGGAGCCCAGGGCGGAGGGTGGGCCTCGTCGGGCTGGGGGCCTGTGCTGGGCACCCGGGTCTCCGGAGGGAGGGGGACGTTGGTCCCCCGGGCGGAGGGCCGTGGGGGGGGGCGCGGGGTCCCCCGGGCGGAGGGCCGTGGGGGCGCGGGGTCCCCAGGGCAGAGGACTGTGGGGGGGGGGGGGCGCGGGGGTCCCCCGGGCGGAGGGCCGTGGGGGGGGGCGGGGTCCCCCGGGCGGAGGGCCGTGGGGGGGCGCGGGGTCCCCCGGGCGGAGGGCCGTGGCGGGGGCGGGGTCCCCCGGGCGGAGGGCCGTGGGGGGGGCGCGGGGTCCCCCGGGCGGAGGGCCGTGGCGGGGGCGGGGTTCCCCCGGGCGGAGGGCCGTGGGGGGCGTGGGGTCCCCCGGGCGGGAGGGCCGTGGGGGGGCGCGGGGTCCCCCGGGCGGAGGGCCGTGGGGTCCCCCGGCGGAGGGCCGTGGGGGGGGGGCGAGCGGGGTCCCCCGCGCCGGGGTCCCCCCGCGAGGCCATCTCCCCTGTGCCCCCCGCAGTGGAGGCTCACCCTTGGACCCCGACACGGCGAACCCGCGCCCTGCTGCTGTCCCTGGACCTGAAGAGCGTGCGTCTGGGCCCGCGGGCGCAGGAGCTGCCGGGCCACCCGCGGCGCTTCGACACCAACACGCGCGTGCTGGCGTCCAGCGGCTTTCACGTCGGGGCGCCACCACTGGGAGGTGGAGGTGGGCCCCAAGGACGGCTGGGCCTTCGGCGTGGCCCGCGAGAGCGTGCGGCGCCAGGGCCTGGTGCCCTTCACGCCCGAGGAGGGCGTGTGGGCGCTGCAGCTGCACGGCGGCCAGTGCTGGGCCGTCACCAGCCCCGAGCGCACGCCCCTGCGCTGCGGGCGCTGGCGCGCGTGCGCGTGGCGCTGGACCTGGAGGCCGGGGGCCGTGGCCTTCTACGCCGCCGAGGACCTGCGCCACCTCTACACCTTCCGGGTCAACTTCCAGGAGCGCGTCTTCCCGCTCTTCTCCGTCTGCTCCCCGGGCACCTACCTGCGGATCTGGCCTTGAGGGAGGGCCGGGCCGCCGGGCCGCCGAGGCCTGCTCCCCCTCCCTCCCTCCTCCCCCTTTCCCTCCTCCCTCCTCCCCCTCCCATCCTCTTCCTCCTCCCCCTCCCTCCTCCCCTCCCCCTCCCATCCTCTTCCTCCCCCCTCTCCTCCTCCCCCTCCTCCTCCTCCTCCCTCTTCCTCTGTTTCCCCCTCCTCCTCCTCCCTCCTCCCCCTCTTCCCCCTCCCCTCCTCCTCCTCCTCCTCCCCCTCCTCTCTCCCCCCCTTCTTCCTCCTCCCCCTCCTCCTCCTTTTTCCTCCTCCCCCTCCCCCCACGTCTCCTCCTCCTCCCTCCTCCCCTTCCCATCCTCTTCCTCCTCCCCCCTCCCCCTCCTCCCCCTCTTCCTTCTCTCCTCCCCCTCTTCCTTTGCCCCCTCTTCCTCTCCCTCATCCCCCTTTCCCTCCCCCCTCCTCCCCCCTCCTCCTCCTCCTCTCTCTTACCCTCTTCTCCCTCCTCCTCTGCCCCCTCCCCCTCCCTTCTTCCCCCTCTCCTCCTCCCCCTCCTCCTCCTCCTTCCTCTTCCCCCCTCCTATTCCTCCCCCTCCTCCCCCCTCCCCTCCTCCTTCTCCTCCTCCCCCTCTTCCTTTGCACCTCTTCCTCTCCCCTCTTCCTCCTCCCCCTCCCTTCTCCCCTCTTCCCCCTCCTTCTCCCTTCCTCCCCCTCTTCCCCTCCTCCTCCTCCTTTCTTCTCTTCCTCCTCCTTTCCCTCTCCTCCTTTCTCTTTCTCCTCCCTCCTTTCTTCCTTTCTCTTTCTCCTTTCCTCTCCTCCTTTCTCCTCCTCCACCTTTCTTCTCCTCCCTCTCCTCCTTTCCTTTCCTCTTCCTCCTCCTCCTCCTCTTCTTCCTCTTCCTCCTCCTCCTTCCTTCTTTCTCTTCTTCCTCCTCCTGACTGAGCCACGTGCTCCTGTCTGAAGTCCTACCCTCTACACTCCCACCCCAGGATTCCCAAGAAGGGCTGGTTGACAAGGCAGAGACCATGGAAGTGTGAAAAGCAACCAACCGTAGTAGCTCAACACCTTTGCCATCCTAGCTATTTGGGAGGCTGAGATCTGAGGATCACAGTTCAAAGCCAGCTTGGCAGGAAAATCTGTGAGACTCTTATCTCCAATGCACCACCAGAGAAGTGGAAGTATTGCTGTGGCTCAAGTGGTAGTTCCGCTCGCCTTGAGCTGAAGAGCACAGGACCAAGGCCAGGCCCAGAGTTCAAGCCCCATGACTGACGGGGGATAAAAAAAGAAAAGAAATAAGGGAGCAATGGAAGAATAAGACTCCAGTCTTATTCTTATTGGACTCTTTCGGGCCTGTTTGCTGTCGTGGGTGGCAGGAGGGTTGCCTGTGAGGACAAAGGCGGCTGCTGACAAGCATGCTTTCTATCCAGCCAGCTCACTGCCCTGTTTACAGGGGCCATGGGTGCCAGGGGACAGGGCATCTTCTGACCCATTGCAAGGGGTCAGGTTTGGCCGTGGGCCAGCCAGGTTCATTGTCATTTGCCTCCTTGACAGCTGCCAGCTGGGCTTTGACAGGATGTGAGCCCTTGCGACCAGCTGGCCCAAGTCAATCAATCTGCTAGGATTTCAAAGGTTCCAGAATTCTGAAACATTACAAGTTGACACTTAAACCCAGATACAACCAGCATAGGACAGGCAAGAACACAAACATGTTCCTGACAAGCCCTTTCTGCAGCTTGCCAAAAGTATGTCAATGGCAGAACCTTCTGGTGCTAAAGGCCTGCTCAGCCCCACCAGGCCTCACTGTTGATTATCACAAAAGCTTCTGAATGTCTCAGCTTCTGGGAGGTCACTCCTGGACTTCTTCTTGCTCAGGGTTTCCGGGGGAAGGGAGGTGGGGGAGAGGGAAATACAGATTATGCTTTTATCTCTAAGGGTGCTGGATTCATTCTTTACTCTCCAGTCTGATTCCAGGGCAAGTCTGAGCAAGAGTTTATTTATGCTAGAGTGAGTGAGCGTGTGTGTGTGTGTGTGTGTGTGTGTGTGTGTGTGTGTGTGTGTGTGTGTTTTACACAGGAGTACAAAGATTTTGAATCCTAGATTTGGGGACTGATGTGGATTGGAGGATTGAAACTAGCTATGTAGGCCAGGGCTAGCTTTGAACTTAAGATTCTTCTGCCTCCTTCTGTGAAATCCTGGGATTCCAAGCATGCACCCCCTCCTCAGAGCATCTCAGTATGAATTCTTGTCTTGCAGAGGTTGTTCAGATGGATGTGTTGG